GTGTACCTCTGGTGCAAATTACTGACCTCTGTCATCATTTTAAGTGGGGGAACTTGCACAATCGGTGGCTGACTAAATACTTTTTTGCCCCACTGTATCTCTCATGCTTTTTTTTAGCCACTTTAATGTAACTCTGACTGCTGCTTGCAGCTTTTCTCCTGTCTCCACACGCCCCTCATTCCCAGTGTCCTATTGTGTAAAATAGGAGAGGCACAATTAGGTGATGGCTGGCACCCTGGCACCACCCCTCCCAACTTAGCCACAAACCACACCCCACCACCACACATTTTTTTAAAAATTACAGTTGATATGGCGTTGCTTTTCCCCCCAATCTTCTTCCATTGATGAATATTCTGAATGTTTAGTGCTAAAGGGTTTTTTTTAGAAGATTGTAAAGTGTTTCTTCTTTTTCTCCTGCGATGCAGGTCCATGTGTGGCAGGAATAGTGGGCTACAAGATGCCAAGATACTGTCTATTTGGAGATACCGTCAACACAGCCTCTAGAATGGAATCAACCAGCCTGCGTATGTGCAGCTAGTCCCAGTATACACTAGCACACACAATATAGCACAATATAGTGGACATGGAATGAAACTAAATAGATCTATAGATGTATGTGTTATATTGGAATTTGGTACCAAAAACAGCTTTCTTGGATCTTTCTTGCACAAATATACAAATAGAAATCTGGAAAATCTTAAATGTTTACATGATTTTAATTTCTGTTGATTTTAATTTTTCTTTATGCCAGCTCAGAAAATCCACATCAGTTCAGAAGCATACCTGGCTCTGATCAAAGACAATGCTTATGAGCTGCAGCTTCGTGGAGAGATTGAGATTAAGGTAAAAGAATTTCCAGCTATGCCATAATATGTTATCATTAATATTATTTTATTTATTTTAAGAACGTTCCAAATTTAAATTAAAAGACAAAAAAGTGAAATTTGGTGAAAATTTTATGTTTGCTAAAGAGTCTTTAGTCCAAGGTTTTATAAAACATTTTCTTACTTCATGTTCAACACAAGTCTACTTTAAGAGATTTCTTAAAAATTCCACATATACACAAACAATATGCAGTGCTTAGTTTTCATTTTGGTTTTTTTGGTGAACAGTACCTTGTCATTGCTCTTTTTTCATGCGCGGTCTTCTCCTGCCAGGGTAAGGGCAAAATGTATACATACTGGCTGATTGGCCACAAGAACTACAGTGTGCAGAATGACAGTCTGGTTTGCCACTGGAATCCCAACATGGCCAGAAAGAAGAAGATGTTAGCAGGGAGCCAGGTATCTGTGAGCAATGTGAGTTAAAGTGCTTTAATATTCTGAATATGTTCCATTAGAGAAGCATCCGTGCATGTCCTCCAGCTTTTGTCCTACATAGTTTAACACTGAGCCTTAAATGTTTGTTCTGCTGTGAATAGCACTGTAGTCATTCATTTGTTGTATAAAAACAGGTTCATACTAATTTGTTCCCATTATTTCTGTATTACATCTTCCCTGACCGACTGTAGGTGTCTATAAATTTACATTTTCATCAATTTATTACAATTTTGTTTTGATATTTTTATGTTTGTGTTCTGTATGTATATTTTTTACTGCAATTGTGTCACGTGGGTATTACACCAATTAACCCACAGTGTAACCACCAAGCTAATGAAAACTGGTTCTCAAAAGCATGTTACAATCTCGTTCCAGATGTTACCATTATTTTCTCATTGACTTATGGTAAATATACCATTAATATACAGTGCTTTTCTACTCTGAGCACTCAACGTGCTTTACACAACTTGCCTCATACACCCATTCACTTAAGCACTTTTTTCTAAGCTCTTTCCTATTCCAATGCAACACATCTTCCAGTGTGTGTCAGTGTTCTCCATCCATCCAACCATCCATCTTCTTCTTATCCAATTCAGGTTCACAGTTAGGCTGGAGCCTATCCCAGCTATTATAGATCAAGAAGAGGGGTACACCCACCTCTGATGAAGTTTCACAAGTGTCAGCTTTGCTTTTATACATAGATATAAAAATATGGATATGTAACATATAAAAATATGGATATGTACTCATAAAAAATCATAATTATAATATTTCTGAGAAAAAAACTGAATTGAATCAAATCAAATCAGAGTCGCATCAGTAGAAGAAGGGGTGGAAACAGAAGGGGATGCGGATCCGGTTCAGCAGCTGCAGTAACTATAGCCATGCTTGGAACATGCTCCGGAACCTCCTCTTCGGGGCTGAGACTGCCCGGCTCCCGACCTCCAGCTGCAGGAGCTCCCTTAGAGACCCTGGCCGTGCTGCCAGGTGATCGTTGGCCAGGGTCACCGCCAGATCCAAGGGCTGGTGGCAGCAGACCCACTCTGCCATTCCCGCTGGGAGCCCCTCCATGAATTGTTCCAGGACCACCATATTCACTAACTGGGCCTCCTCTTTTGTGGGAGGTACCTTTGTCTGGCTCTCGGACTGGTTCTACGTGTTTTTTATGGGTGGCCACTGGCTGCTCCCAGTGCATAATAGCAAGCTCCACCACCATTTGTGCTAGTGCCTCCACCAGTTGTGCAGGTCACATATCCGTCATCACGCAGATTCGCTTTGGGCACCACTGGAGCACTAAGGACCTCACACACAGCCAGAGGGTCACGGTGAAGTACAGTTTCTTTTATTGCTGTTTTGCACACAAACACTTTGGCACATGCAGGCCGGCAGTATCCAGCTTCCCAACTCATTTCTGGTGCTACTTCCTGCTCACTGCTTACCTCCCCTCTTCAGGTCCTGGCACCTGCTGAAATAGGAGAGATAGAGGGCAATCGTAGCTCAAGAGTTGGGAGTTTGCCTTGTAATTCAAAGGTTGCCGGTTCGAGCCCCGGCTCGGACAGTCTCGGTCGTTGTGTCCTTGGGCAAGACGCTTCACCTGTTGCCTACTGGTGGTGGTCAGAGGGCCCGGTGGCGCCAGTGTTCAGCAACCTCGCCTCCGTCAGTGCACCCCAGGGCAGCTGTGGCTACAATGTAGCTTGCCATCACCAGTGTGTGAATGGGTGGATGACTGGATGTGTAAAGCGCTTTGGGGTCCTTAGGGACTAGTAAAGCACTATACAAATACAGGCCATTTACACAATTACTGCCTGGTGTGATGACGGCCTCCCCTGGGCCTGCCTCCTGAGCCCATGTTTAACATCAGAATAGAATCTTAATCTAATCTTAATCTAAAAGACCTCATACTGTTGCATCACACCAAAAGAACACTTCACTCTCAGACTTATTTGTAGTTTCCAGGGTAAATAAAAGTAGATAGGGAGGCAGAGTTTTCAGCTTTCAGGCCCTTTTCTCTAGAACCAGCTCCCAATTAGACAGACACCCTTTCTACTTTTCAGATTAGGCTTCATACTTTCCTTGTTGATAAACCATATAGCCAGGGCTGAATCAGGCGACCATGAATCCTCCCTTAGCTCGATACACTGACTGTTTCTTTTTTGCTCACCCTTTTTCACTCATTGTGCCCCACTCTTCATCTCCCCCACTCTTAATTGTTATTCATCTCTGGCTCTCCATATTAACCAACTCAGCTCCCTCCCCTCACACCCAACCAATCACAGCACAGATGGCCCCGCCCCTCCCTGAGCCTGGTTCTGCTGGACGTTTCTTCCTGTTAAAAGGGAGTTTTTTTCTTTCCACTGTCACCAAAGCGCTTGCTCATAGGGGATCATATGATTCTTGGCGTTTTCTCTGTTTTCTCTATGTTATTGTAGAGTCTTGACCTTACAATATGAAGCGCCTTGAGGCAACTGTTGTTGTAATTTGGCACTGCATCAATACATTTTAATTGAAAAAACCCCGCATTGAACTGAATACATTTATGAGAGCAAAAACATTTAACATAATTTTATTTACTGACACTTATATGACACAGATAGTGTAGCTCTATCATCTAATAGCAAGTACATGATTCACCTCATAGTCAGTATTGCTGCCAGTAGCAGTCTGGTGCAATGAATTAACACCTCACAGCACCATAATCACAAACATACTTTTAATGTTATTTTTTGTTGTCCGTTACAGGCAGATTACAGAAAACAGTGCTAATGTTTAGTATATACTGGGACTAATGGGAACATAAAATATGAGAGTGGGACAGTTATATGATTGGTCATATGGTATTCTTGTAACCCTCTTCCGGTGTTATGTTAATAAAAACAACTAAACTGAAACTGACTATGATGAATAACAATCATATGGAATTGTGTAAAAAGCTATGTATCTTTTCTAATATTAATGTACCTTCCATATGTACTTATGCCAGTCATCAGTGACAGTGCAAAGTCTGACCGAGAAGGCTACCACTCCAGTGTCTCTTCTCATGAACCAAACTTCGCCACAGCCACCGAAAGACAAACCTGGCAAGAGAATGGCAGCTCAGATGGAGACCTACAGCAGCAGCTGCAGTACCCTTGGCTCCATGATTGGAGGACTGCAGGGAGGAGATAAGAGTCCTCAACCCAGCCAGCATAGCAGTGGACTCAAACCTGATCTGCTTCCTGTCTCCAACCAGCATATGTAGCCAATAACTCTGCCAGCATAAATTAACCTAAGAGAATCTGAGAAATTAGTTTTATTGCAGGTAGTGCTTTAACAGCTAAAAGACATAGTTAGTTGTCACCTGACATTAAAAAAATTCAACTCATACTAATTTCCTTCCTGAACTTTTGAGTTGGAAAGTCTCACTCATACCAAGTATTACAAAGAAAGTTCGACATTCTGTCATCAGACACACGCCAACAGTGTCAATCAGGCCAAGCAGACACACAAAGGTGGTTATCTATGGAGAGAACTTTGGCCCAAAAGGGTTATAAATGCATACGTTATCATCCACAGCATCAGCTTATTTAAACTATATATATCAACCTTCACAGGGTACTGTGTAGTGTCTGTAATTGGTAAATCTATGTTTTCCAGTAGAGTTCTGTTTAGAAGAAGGCCAGATGACAGCAAGATCTTGAACGCAGCTTACATTTGTGAGTCTGTGTGAAGCTGCCAGCATAAAATTCGTCCCCACGTGGGCATGTGACCTGTGCTATTTGTGCACTCGTATTTAAGGTTGTAAGTGAGAAAGATGTTACATGTAGTTTAGACATCTAGATGCACGGAAAGCTTTCTGAAAGTGAAAATCGTGTGAAGTTGAACTTTATAAATTATGTGTAAATGATCCATAGTTATTCATGTTTAGGTGCATGCATTTGCAAAATAGTTTACATGTGGTTAAATTGCTTTGTATTTGTGTGTGGATTGAACATTTTTGTAAATCTTTATTAACATACCATACACATTTTAACCCTTTTGAGTCCAATTTCTTTCCAAAGTTATTGGCTCAGAGTATTTAGGCTTGATATTGAAAATGGCCCCAGAACCAGGCTGGCAAGGGACTGGACTCAGTCTCAAGTGTCCCTTAGAGGCAGTGGGCAAGAGTGGGTATTCTTGCTTTCTCCCAGTAGACAAAAGGTTTGTTTTCTTGTGCTGAATAACAGTTCAGAGTACTCAACTTTCTTGGAGTTGGTGGGTGGGGTTCTGGATGATGCCACACTTTGTATTGACAGACTTCAACAGTCATGTGGACAATGACAGCTAGATCTGGAGGGGCGTGATCAGGTGGAACAGCCAGCCTGATCTGGACAAGAGAAATGTCCTGCCATTGGACTTTTGTTGGGTGGTGGGAGTTAAAGAGTAGGCGCTTGTCTTGTGTGTGGGTTTCTGGTAAACTTCAATGTTGAGGCTTTCATCCTCTTCAATGAGCACAACACTGTCCAGGAATGGTAACCCATTATCCTTGGTATCCTCCTCCCTAAACTTTGTTTTTAACCACTGAGTTGATGTGATCAGTGAAGGTTTCTACTTCTTAGGTTTTGATTTTGACCTAATATGAAGAAGAACTTTTTAGATATTCCATGTGTTGTGTTGTGTGGGCCTCTGTGTTTGTAGGTTTATGTCCTTGTGTTCTGTGAACAACTTTGTCTAATACATTCCAGACCATTATTGTTTGTACAGCTTATTAAAAACAATGGATGTTTCATTAATGTGGTAGGTCTTAGATAGAATTAATGTCAGTTTACAGTACTGTACAAAGGTCTTGAGCCACCCTTTTTCTCTTGATGTTTTGAAAATTGGGAATAGGTGCAGCGACGTGCAAACAGACATGGAAATATAGTACATAACACAAAAAAAGAGTCTGTGCAAATCTAACAAGCTCTTAAGTCAAAACTTGATATGGTCCTGGGCTTTGGTCCAGTTTTGAGGGTTTTTTGTTACTGAATTCTGGTTATTTGATGTTCTGTTTGTTTGTTTGTTTTAGATTTTTATACACCTTTATATCGTGACTCCTTGTTTTTAGTTCTTGCTTATTTACATTTGTATTCTGGTTAGGTTTATTTTAGTGTAGTTATTTTTAGCTTTCTCTGTGGATAAGGTGCTTTACACTGTGTTGATTTTCTGAAGCCCCAACATTTAGAAACACTCCCCTGGAGTCTCCCCTGGCACTGCCCCTGAACCCACAGCCCCATCCTTCTCCTGCAGCTGAGCCACAGACCACACCATGTCACACACATTTAGTCTTTTTTATTTAAATTGGGGATATTGCTTTACATCAGTTCTAGTGAACTATGTAATGGGATCTCCTGAAGCAGTGCCCCTGCACTCCATTCCTGCAAAGAGTGTGGCGCAGGTGCTCTTTCATGTAATTACCCAAGTCGGCGTCCCAAAAAAGATACTGTCTGACCAGGGCATTCATGTCTCCCACACTAAAAAAACTGTATGAATTACTGGGCATTAAAGATGTTTGTATCAACATCTATCACCCTCAGATTGACAGGCTGGTCGAGCAGCTGAATAAGATTTCAAAGTCCATGATTCAGAAGTTCATTTACGAGATTGAGCACAACTGGGATTGCTGGTTAGACCCTCGGTTGTTTGCATTTGGGTAGGTTCCCCCTTGATCTACTGTTTGGCAGGAAGACACAGCGTGTGTTGACCCTAATTATTAAAAACTGGGAGGAAGGCCCAAGCCCAGCTATGAGCAAAATTCAATAGGTCCTGGACCGGAGACCAAAACGACACACATTGTTATCACAAGAGAATTTGCAACACATGTACAACAGAGGGTCTAGGATCAGGCAATACTGCTTCCTTCTTTGAACTCAAAGGTACTTTCCAAGTGGCAAGGACCCTTCGTAGTGACACAATGAATGGGTGACACTGACTATGAGATGGTAGTGTCGGACAGAGGAGGAGCCACACAATGTTGTATGTTGCCCAGTCGTATGTCACTCACAGAGCACCATTTTAACATGGGACCTGGCATGACGATGAGTTCACGGCCCTACAGGTTACCTGAGCATGAGACAAAAATAGTTCAGAAAGAAATAATGTATACTTTATTGATCCCTGTGGGGAAATTCCTCTCTGCATTTAACCCATTCACTCAGTGAAGCAGTGGGCAGCCACTGGGCGCCCAGGGAGCAGTGTGTAGGGACGGTAACTTGCTCAGGGGTACCTCAGGGTAGCCGTTCAGTGGATTTGAACCCCTGACCTTACAATCATGGGGCCACCACTCTACCTACTGAGCTATCCCTGCCCCCAATGGTTGAAACACTGAAAATGAGAAAAATAGAAGAGTCACAAAGAGTATGGTGTAGCCCTAAGATGGGTCTCTACGGTTCTGTGTTGACTACCATGAATAATGTGTCTCAGTTATCCCACGCCCTGGGTCGATGAGCTCCTGGGCCAGTTGGGTACTGCTCATTTTTTCACGACACTAGATTTAACTAATGGCTACAGGCAGATTCCCTTGTCTCCAGAGTCTATGGAAAAAATTGCCTTCTTGGATGAATTTGATTGGCTAATCAGTCTTCAGCAGAGGCCAGGCTGTCTAGAGGCTAGACAGCTGCAAAAACATCACTAACACTGCAACAATGTGTACTTGTGGGGTCTTTGGTGTAACAAATGATAACAGTTTAAGTCAAAATTAGAAATTTTCATCACTCCATGAGAACTATTGCCACTGATTTTCAGTCCTGTTCTTGTTTAATTCAGCGTACCTCAGCCTTTTCCCCTTGTTTCCATTCCTAAACAATGGCTTCCTGATAGCTGCTTGGACCAGAGACCGGCAGCATATTTGTACTGGCACGCACTGGGGCTGCGGCGGCTGAAGCATTTGCAGGGCGCTGGTTGAGTGCCTGTGTGGGTATACGCTGAGCAGCCATCAGTGTGGGACCTGGGTGTTGTTGTTGGTGGTGGTTGTATAGATGGTGTTTAAGGCCTGAGGCCCGGGTGCTGACTGACACATAGCATTCGGCATGTTCTGAAAGTGCTGAGGGCGTACTTCCAGAACTTCCAGCTGGGCCAGCTGTTTGGCAGAGAACGCAGCACAGTTCTGAGCCTGTGGGATAGCTGCCATGAGGGTGGAACAGGCTGGTATGGGTTAAGGACAGGATTGGGCACAGCTCGGACAGTGGCCATCTTTTGCATGTACTGGTTGGTTAGATAAGCCTGATGCTCCTCTTTCCGCTGAGCAAGGGCCACATACAGTGGCTTTGTAGCCATAATACGTCCATTCATCTCTGTTACAGCTTTAATGTCCTCCTCTGAAGAAGAGAAGCACACAAAGCCTTTGCTGCGGCCACCCTCCATCATCACCTTAGCACTCATTATGGTTCAAAATGAGGAGAATTATAATTAATATGTAGCTTGCCATCACCAGTGTGTGAATGTGTGTGTGGATGGGTGAATGACTGGATGCGTAAAGTGCTTTGGGGTCCTTAGGGGACTAGTAAAGCGCTATACAAATACAGACCATTTTACCATTTACCAATATATGTATATATATAAAAATATATATAAATATACATTCTTTTTCTTTTTTACTAAGTGTTCTGTTGTTAGTAGACTCAATGGTAGCTCATCCCTTGACTTAGGTACTTTTTTATTGCTTCACTGGTCAGTGTTTAGTAGCTGTGTTGGAAAGCACCCGAACACACAGTGTTACAGACAGGTGAATTCCTTTATTTATAACTATTTAAATGTTTGTGCAGCTTTCCAGCCACCTCGTTAATGCAACACACTCCCCTGTTGGGTCCTGGCATCCTACTGAAATAGGGAAGCATGACCATGTGATTGACAGCAGCTGTGTGGGCCAGCCTCCCCTGACACCACACCCTGAACCCACTGGTCCACCCCTCCCCTGCAACTGAGCCACAAATCACACCCGGCTTAACAAATAAAAGTGGCTAATGTCCAAAGAAAAACTTCGAAGAGCTTCAGAAAGACTGGAAAACTGAAGATAATTGTTAGTTGTTGTTTTTTAAAGAATGAACGTCTGGATTCTTAGATGCAAAGTAAGTGGCTGAGGTGGCTAAAAACTTTTGCACAGTAGTGCACATAAAAAGAGAGTAATGCTGAATGACTGAATTCCCTTCAGCAATATGTATCATCCTGGTGGTACGATCTCCATTACTTTGATTGCAGCCAACTTCTGCTCTGGCTTGGCAACAAAAGCATGTTTAAATGCATACA